TAGTTGGGTCTTTTTCTTTTTAATATTTTATTTAAAAAATTAATAATTTTTTTAATGCTTGAGAGAGAAATGAGAGAGGGAGGGACAGAGAGAGGGAGACACAGAATCCAAACAGGCTCCAGGCTCTGAGCTGTGAACACAGAGCCCGACATGGGGCTTGAGCCCACAAACCATGAGATCATGACCTGAGCTGAAGTTGGCCTCTTAACCAACCGAGCCACTCAAGTGCCCCTAAATTTTTTTTAATGTTTATTTTTTATTAAAAAAATTTTATGGTTTATATTTGAGAGAGACAGCATGAGTGAGGTAGGGGCAGATAGAGGAAGACACAGAATCTGAAGCAGGCTCCAGGCACTGAGCTGTCAGCACAGAGCCCAACACAAGGCTCAAACTCACAAGGCATGAGATTATGATCTGAGCTAATGTCAGATGCTCAACTGTCTGAGCCACCCAGCTGCACCTGTTTATTTTTGAGGGAGAAATAAGGTGAGCAAGGGAGGGGCAAAGAGAGAGGGGGACAGGTGACTTGAAACAGGCTCTGTGCTGACTGCAGACAGCCTGATACGGGCTCGAACTCATGAACCGGAAGATCATGATCGGAGACAAAGTCAGATGTTTGAGCCACCCAGGCGCCCCTTAAAGATTTTATTTTTAAGTAATCTCTACACCCAACATGGGGCTTGACCTTACAGTCTCCAGATCAAGAGTCTCATGCTTTACCGACTAAGCCAGCCAGGCACCTGGGGTCTTGTTTTTTTAAAAGTCCATTCTGATAATCTTTTATCAGGGGCCTTTCACTCGGAGTGTTTAGACCTTTTATATTTATTGCAATGACCTACAAAGTTTGGCTTAAATCCAACATCTGGCTATTTGCCTTCAATCTGTCCCATCTGTTCTTTGTCCATTTTTCTTTTCTTTTTTTTTTAAACTTTATTTTGAGAGAGAGAGACAGTGTGAGTGGGGGAGGGGTAGAAAGAAAGGGAATCCCAAGCAGGGTACACACGCTGCCATGGTAGAGCCTGATGTGGGGCTCAAACTCAGGAGACCGTGAGACCATGACCTGAGCCAAAACTCTCTGCTTTATTCTTTTAGTGCTTGAAAGAGGATTTAAAAATACAACTTCAGAGGTGTCTTGGTGGCTCAATTTGTTAAGACTCTGACTCTTGTGGGGCACCTGGGGGGCTTAGTCAGCTGAGTGAGTGTCTGACTCTTGTTTTTGGCTCATGATCCCAGGGATCCCTTAGTTTCGGCTCAGGTCATGATCTCAGGGTTGTGAGACTGAGCTCCATGTTGGACTTGTGTTGAGTGTGCAGCCTATTTAATATTCTCTCTGCCCTTTCCTGCTTATGCTGGCTCTCTCTTAAAAAAATGTATGCACACACACATACAACTTCAACATAATACGGTATACTTTCAACAAATATGATACCACTTCATATATGACCCTTACAACAAAATATTTTCCTTTTTCCCACTTCATTATTTGTGCTACTGTTGTTACTTATTTTATTTCTATATAAGTTGTAAACCCCTCAATGCAGTTAAAATAATCAATATTGGAGACATAAAAGGAAAAAAAGTATAATATTTACCTGGATTTTTTTTTTTTTTCCTATCCCTGGTGCTCCTTATTCCTTGGTATGTATCCAAACTTTCATCTGATGTTTTCGTTTTGCCTGAAGAACTTGGACATGTCTTATAATGCAGCTCTGCTGGTGATTATTCTTTTGGCTCTCATTTGACAAACTCCTTATTTCACCTTTGTTTTTGAAAGATATTTTCACTAGCTACAGAACTGTAGGCGGAAAGTCATTTTTTTTATTTGCTTTTTCAGTACTTCGAAGATGTTAAATTTTTTATGGTTTGCAAAACTTCTGATGAAAAGTTGGCTGCCATTCTTCTATTTGTTTCTATGTAGTATGTCTCTCTCTGGCTTTCATAATTTTCAAAAAAAATTTCAGCAGTTTTATTATGGAGTGTGTATATATGTGTATTTAGTGTTCTGCTTGGGGTTCTGATTTTCTTGAATCTATATGGTCAGTTTTAATCCAGCTTGGAAAAATCTGTTGTCCTTTCTCCAGATATTATTTCCATCCACTCTCCCCTTAATTTTTTTCTCCTTGGGAGATATACATAATATTATACATATTTTAGATATGTATACATATTTTAGACTCCTCGATAGTGTTCCACACGTCAGTTGCCTGGTTTGTTGTTTTGATCCCTTCTCTATGTGCTCAGTTTTAGTTTTTATTGCTGGGTCTTCAGACTTACTGGTTTGTTGTACTGCTGTGTCTACCTGCTCTTTATCCTGTCTGGTATATTTTCCACTTCAAATACTGAATTTTCCATTTCTAGAAATTCCAACTTTTTATCTCCCATTTTTTCTTATGTTCCTATTCCTTTATATTCTTGAACATCTGTATAATACCTGTTGTTAAGGTCTTTATCTGCTAATCCTGTGGTCTGTCATTTCTGTGCCTACTAATTTCTCTTCTCTTCTGGTTATGGGTCATATTTTCTTCTTTGCACATCTGGTAATTTTGGATTGGAAGCTGGACATTGTGAATTTTGCTTTCAAGTGCTTAATTTTTGTTATTCCTTTAAAGAGTGTTGGGCTTTAGCCTGGCACAAAGTGAAATTATTGTGGACCTCAAGACTTGGTTTTTATGGTCCAGAGGAGCCTCTACTCCAGACCTAATTTAAGATTATCACTAAGGTGTGATCTTTCTTAGGACTCAACCTAGTATGCTGCATATTCTGAAGTTGTACTCTGCGTCTCAGGCACATGAACACTTCCCACGCCTTTGTGAGTTCTAAGAATTGTGTGGTCTGTTGGTTTCTGGTCGTGAAGTTGTGCCTTTCATGTATGTAGGTTAGGACTGGGTCAGACTCTAGGAGAAATTTCTGTAGCTCTGAGGAGCTTGCTGTCTCTGAGCAGCTCCCTCTTCTCCAGGACTCTTCCCAGTAGGGTCTAGCCTAGCCTTACTGGACTCTGATCGCTGTCTCTTCAACTTGACCACTAGACTCTGGATTGTTTCCCTGCCCTTTGGCCTGGAAGCTGCCCCCCAGGCAGTAAGCTAGAGCAACTGGTGCTTCCCGTACCCACGGCCTTGTCCTATATCCATAAGCATTTGTTTCATGTATATTGTGTGGTTTTCTAGTTGTTTAGGGAAACTAACTTCTAGGAGACTCTTAGAGCCATTAGTCCTTCGTGTGTGGCAGTGGAAATCTCCCCCCTTTTGAACTCATTTATAAACCAAAGCCTGTGAATCTTCTAGTTCTCACATTGGCTTGCTGAGTTTTCTATTTGGGACTGAGGAGTATTTGATGGTAATTCTTGGGTTACCTCGTTCATAAGACCATTAACAACTCCCCTTTTTCTTGCCTATGCTGGTCCCACACAGGGATTACAGGTATCCATAGTTTGGCCCTAGGGTTTGAGGGACTGCCTTAATGTTGTCTGGGGGTTTCATTTTCTATCCCAGTTTGCTTGGTTTTTGTGAAAGGATTAAAAACCATTGTGGTTGCTATCGCGCGTATGCTATCTGGAACTCTCTACCTTTTGAATTACCTTTACATTCCTATCACCTGGGCTTGGCCCTTGAAGACTGACACGATGTGGTATTTCCACTTGATTAGCCTATTTTGTGGTAACAAACTTGAGGGATCTTGCTTACCCCAGGAATAGCTAACATGTTAGCACTCTAAGCATAAACTATTACGGGTGGTAATTTCCCTTCCACATTACCTTAACTGATCCTTGGTGGTGTAAGCCACAAACAGCCTATGGCCAGGAGCCCACTAACCCTATCACCAACCCACTGTGTGACACAGGACTAATTTCTTCTGTTTGTTGATGGTAGCAGGCAGCATAAGGAAGATCGGGCCTGTGCTTGTAGGAAGCACAGGGCTTGTCAGGGAAGGCAGACAAGTATGAAGAGCTAACTAGAACTAAGGGTTATATCCACGGAGAAGTGTATGCAAAGTTGCCTTCTTGGGTCTTTTCTCATCGGAATAAAAGGACAGAAGCACAGTTCTCAGTGTTCTCCAAAGGCCTGGATTGTACAGAATGACGTGGAGGCTGAGGGGCAGAGCTCTGGCCTCTGTACCCCTACTTCAAGCACAGTCAATCCACCTTTCCCCACTTTATACACCATAATCTAATATTTATTTCAAAATAGGGGTTTTGCTGCTGAAAAATGAGCAGGCAATAGAATAGGGGTCCAGGTTTCCTTGTGCATGTGGCCTCCTGCGGTGAGTGGCCTCACCTTTTACAAAGCTAAGTGCGCTCACATAAAGGTCTGCTGTGAGCACCACCCCACATTACAGCTGAGGAGCCCTCACATACCCCCTCCTGAGTTCTGCCTTCGACAGCACCCACTCTGGAGCTGAGCTGGATCAGGACGCAAACACTGGGTTTACCACTTGGCAGTGGACAGCCCTGGGCATCTTACCTTCTGTGCTGATTTCCTCATCGGTAAATGGGGGATATATGCCTATACCAGTCTGTCGTGCTGCTGCGTGGGCAAAGCCCCAGGCTCATACCAGGGTGCGGCAGGTCTCAGTGAATCATAGCTGCCGATGTGGCCACTGATTCACCTGAGGGTCCCAGGGCCTTTGCTAAGAGATGGTATTTGGGTCAGGGTTGACCAGAACCAGAACCGTGGTCTCCAGCGCTGACAGGGTCCTTAATATGCATGAAGTGGACTCCTTCTGGGCCAGTCTCTTAATTGTGAGTATTTGGTTAATACTGCCCTGCACCTGCACGGCCTGTTATGGGTCACCATCACCGGAGCCCCCGTCACCATACTCTGTACGATGCCTCCTGTGTGACTGGAACCACTTATACAGATACCAGCTTTGTGTTGTGATGGTTGGGGTGGGGGTGGGGGGGTGGTCAGCCAGGCCTACAGGGACCAGGGTCTTGGCTAATGTTCTAGTACACTGACCAACACGAGTGAACGTGAACTTATGGAGGGCCTGGGGTAATGCAGGAAGAATTATAAGCAATATGAATTTATTTATCTATTTTGGAAACAAAACCCCCCAAATAATGCCTGACACCCAAAAGGTACATAAAAATGGACAAAAATATTTTAAAATAATAGATTTGAAGAGCATTGGTAGCTTTTCCTCATAACGTGAATGCTTTCAGCAGGACAGTAAATTACAAACCATATCAAATCATGTTAAGGCAGATGATCTGTCTGGTGCATTTGTAACTCCTCCTGGGGAAGGAATGTTGGTGGAGCCATTCCTCCCGCGGTTTGGTCAGCTGGTCCAGGAAAGGCCAGTCCTGGAGTCAGCAGGTGGGGAGCTGGGCCTCGCCGGTCTTGTCACTGCTCGTTCTGCTGGCCCTCTGTGACGGAAGTGGACACAGAACCTTGGCCCTTGTTGACATCACTGATGCACACCCACTGCCCGTCGACAGACTCCTTCCACAGGGTCACCTGCAAGCCAGTGTACACGGCGCGTTAGAGGTCCGCACCCTTCCCTCTGCTTCCCGGGTTCCCGCAGGGGCCAGGACTCCCGGCTGGCGAGCAAACAAAACCCTACGCCCGTTAAGAAAGAAGGGGAGAGTGACCTCTGCAAGGCGGTGACAGAGGGTATTCCTGACTCAGCTCCCCCCACAGGAATGAGGCTGAAGCAGCCCCCTGCTCGACCGCAGAGACCAAGTCACGGTACCGGAAGGCTGGCTGGAAGGCTACGTGCTGGCTGCACGGCTCCCCGCCCAGGCTGGCTCAGCACCGCGTCCACCTGTGTGTGTCCAGAGGAAAAGGAGCACAGGGGTGACATCCAGTCACCGGCACTGTGAGTTGTCTGGGGGGAGCTCTGGGCTCTGCAGGCACATCTGTGGGCATCTGATTGTGACGAAGTGGGGTTCTTAAGTGGTCAACACAGGAGGAGAGGCAGGAACGGCCCAAGTGCCCTCTTCCTCCAAGTCCGTCTATGCCAACGGCTTGAATAAATCCCTGGTCCCAAGTGAGACAGAATCAGCGGCCCGGGTGCTGGGAGGGCTTCCGACACCGGCACTGCGTTCCTGGTGGCAGAGCCCAGGCAGGATCTCTGCTCCTCTCCGGCGCCGCGCTGGGGGCCCGGGCTGCCCTAGGGAATGCTGTACCATGCGGTCCTGCGCGCCCTTGAACCTGGGCGGCCCCCAGCCAGCCCCACCTGCTGTAGAGCACGGCCCCCAGGCCCATCTGACGGGAAGGGCTCTGACGCCGACAAGTTGCAGGACACTCTCTGGCAGAGAGCTGGTGGCCCCAGAGCAAAAGCCAGTGGCCTTATTTCACGGAGAAACCTGGGAACAGATTGGCTTGAGTCAGGGCCACACAAGAAGTACGGGTGGCCCTCGGCGGCTTCTGCCACTGTGCAGGGGCGGGACAAGCACTTGGTGCCTGAGCAGAGCACGCGGGAAGCTCTTTAGTCCATCCCACGGCCCTAGAACAGCGCCTGGCTTCCTGTCGACAGAGCGAAACCCGGGCCTCACCGCACCAGGACGGTCCGTGTACTCCTGGGCCTCACTAATTTGGGCTCCACACAAGCTGACCCTGCTCTGGCAGGAAGCTAATTCACAGACCCACTAGTGTCGAGAGCCCAGTCCTGACTCCAGGAAGCCTAACCAGAGCATCCAGGCCCCAGCGAAGCCCACTAGCTTGCAGGCAACTAAGGGTCAGCAGTCCTACCTGCTGCTCTCAGCCAGGGGACCACCCTCTATCCTCAGCAGGAGTGACCAGAAACCCAACTAGCTGACCGGTGAAACTGCCGGCCACAGCGAGCCTGCAAAGTTCAGAAGAGACCACTTACTCAAAGGCACCGATACCAACGGGAGGATCACAGAAAACCAGGTAAACGTGACAGCACCAAAGGAAACTAGTTAACGCTCTATAAGGGACTCGAAAGACATGATCTATGCACTGCCAAGAGGCCCAAAATAGGCTGAATTCAAACAGGGCTACAAAAGACATGTCATAATTGTCAAAAGTCAAAGAATTTTTAAAGTAGCTAGAGAGGGTAAAAAAAAAAGTTACATATAAGGAAACTGCCCCGTAAGAGCGTGAGCAGATTTCTAATAGAAGCTTTTCAGGCCAGAAGAAACACACTCAAAGGGGACAACCTGTTAACCAAGAATACTATACCAGGCACAAGGGTCCTTCAGCAACGGACAGACTTTCTTGGACAAGCAAAAGCCCAGGGAACTCATGACCATATCTCTGCCTCACAAGAAATGCTAAAGGGAGTTCTTTGAGTAGAAATAAAAGGATCCTCATTAACACCGTACAAGGCAGCCCAAAAGTTACTGGTAACGATAGTTAAAGTTGGATTCTGTAATATGGTGGTATTAGTATATAATTCACTTACAACTCTAGTGTAGAAGTTAACGTAGTAATAAATAACCATAACTACACTAACCTGTTATCAGTTACACATTACAAAATATGTCAACTGTAACATAAATAACCTAAAATGTAAGAGGGAGAAGTAAAAGTGTAAAGATTAGGAATTCTATTGAAGTTAAGATGTTATTTTAAAATAGGTGTTTTGGGGCGCCTGGGTGGCTCAGTTGGTTAAGTGTCCGACTTCAGCTCAGGTCATGATCTCACAGCTTGTGGGTTCGAGCCCCACATTGGGCTTTGTGCTGACAGCTCAGAGTCTGCTTCAGATTCTGTCTCCCCCTCTCTCAAAAACTAATGGACTAAAATAGGGTGTTTTAAAATGTTTTACGTAAGCCTTACAGACCCAAGGGAAAAACCTGTGATAATATCAGACCAATGAACATGACAAAGAAATTAAAGCATACTGATACTATAAAACCTCAAAACACACACACAAAAAGAACAAGAAGGAACAATGTATCAAGAAAACCACCAGAAAATAAAATGGCAATTGTGTAAGGCCTTATTAATAATTACTTCAAATTTAAATGGTTTAAACTCTCCAGTTGAGACAACACATGGCTGAATAAAAAAATCCAAGATCCCACACTATGCTTCCTACAAGAGATTCACTTTAGCCTTAAAGACAGAGACTGACAAGGGATGTAAAGAGATACTTCAAGCAAATGGCAACAACAAAGAAAGCAGGGGTAGCTATACTTATATCAAAGTAAAAACAGTAAAGAGAGGGGAGCCTGGGTGGCTCAGTCGGTTGAGCATCCAACCTCAGCTTGGGTCATGATCTCACGGTTCACGGATTCAAGCCCCGCACTGGGCTCTGTGCTGACAGCTCGGAGCCTGGTACTGATTCTGTGTCTCTCTCTGCCCCTCCTGAGCCACTTGTGCTCTGTCTCAAAAGTAAAGAAAATGTTAAAAAATAGTATAGAGAGACAGAGGGATCTACACATCAAGAAGATGTAACAATTATAAATCAAAAAGTAACAGAACTAAATAAAGAGTAACACAAAAATTGTTGGGGACTTTAATATTTTCAACAATGGAGAGATCATCCAGACAGATAAGGATAGACCAAATGGGCCTAACATGTACATAACCTTCTGACAGCAGAACATACTGTAACTGCACACAAAACAAGTCTTAGCAAATTAAAAAAAAACCCTGATATCAAATCAAGCATCTCCTCTAACCACAATGGTATGAATATAGCAAGAAATCAATAGCAAGAGGAAATTGAGAAATTCGCAAATACACGCAAATTAAACACTCTCTTGAACAACCAATGGACTAAAGAAGAAATGAAAGCAAACACAATATACCAAAACTTACAGGATGCAGGCAAAAGCAGTTCTTAAAAGGCAGTCACAGAAATAAAAATGCCTACATTAAGAAACAAGATCTATCCCAAATAGATAACCTACCTCTATGCCATAAGAAATTAGAAAAGAACATGGGGCACCTGGGTGGCTCAGTAGGTTGAGCCTCTGATTGTGGCTTGGGTCATGATCTCACTGTTCGTGGGTTCAAGCCCCGCGTCAGGCTCTGTGCTAACAGCTAGCTCAGAGCCTGGAGCCTGCTTCAGATTCTGTATCTCCCTCTCTCTCTGACCTTCCCTTGCTCACGCTGTCTCTCTCTCAGAAATAAATAAAAACATTAAAAAAAAAAAAAAAAAGAACAAACTTCGCCCAAAGCTAGCAGAGGAAAGAAATAGTATTAGAGCAGAAATTAATGAGAGAAGAGGAAAACAATAGAAAAGATTAACCAAAGAAAAAAGAGGACCCAAAACAAAATTATAAATGAGAAAGGAGATTATTACAACTGATAATCACTGAAATACAAAGAAAAATAAGAAACTACTATGAAAGAACTGTATGTCAACAAAGTGAACAGCCTAGAAAAAATGAACAAATCCTTAGAAACATTACCAAGACTGAATCAGGAAGAAACAAAATCTGAATAAAACATTTTACTTTTATAAAAATTAAAACCTTTTCTGAAATAGAAAATCTAAACAGTAAGGAGAGAGAATAATGATTGAAAAATCTCCTTGTATAATAAAGCCCAGGGCCAGATGGCTTCCCTGGTGAATTTAACCTAACATGTAAGGAATGACTACCAATCCTCAAAATCTTCTCTCCACCCCTCCTCCCCCAAAAAGGAGGAAATACACCCACACACTCATTTTACAAGGCCAACAATTACCCTTATACCAAAGCCAGAAAAGGCTACTACCAGCAAATAAAACTCTGGACAAATAACCCTGATGAATATAGATGCAAACTGAGTTTGGCAGTTCATTAAAAAGATCATTCACCACCATCAAGCAGGATTCGTATGTGGAATGCAAGGATGATTCAACATATGCAAATCAGCCAGTGTGATCTGTTTGTGATTAATGCTTAACAGGTCAGGTATAGAAGGAACATACCTCAATCATAAAGGTCATGTGATAAGGTCATGTGATAAGCCCAAGCTAACAGAATACCCAACAGTGAAAGGCCAAAAGCTCTTCCTTGAAAATCCGCCCTAAGAAAAGGGTGCCTTTTTCAGTACAGTCCTTGCCTGAGCACTCAGCACTGGAAAGGAAAACTAAAATTGTCTCTATTTGCAGATGACAAGATGTTGTTTCCAGAAAATCTTAAAGGTTTCATCAAAAAACTTACATCTAAACAATGAATTCTTTAAAGGTGCAGGTTACAAATTAACATAAATCAGTAGTGTTTCTATACACTAAGAATGAATTATCTGAAAAAGAAATAAACCAATCCTTATAATAACAAAAACAAGAAAATGCTCATGAACTTACCCAAGGAGGCCAAAGATGGCTACTCTGAAAACTACAGGACAGTGATGAAAGAAGCTGAGAATACAAGTAAATGGAAACGCATCTTGTTCAGAGATTAGAAGAATGAACATTGCTAAACTTTCAGTACTACCAAAAGCCATCTATAGATTCAATGCATTTCCGATCAAGATTCCAAAGGGATTTTTTTTTTGGACAGGAGTAGGAAAAAGAGTCCTAAGATGTAAATGGAACCGCCAAAGACACTGAATGG